GGGGGGGAGAGAGAGAGAGAGAGAGAGAGAGAGAGAGAGAGAGAGAGAGAGAGAGATAGATAGGTAAAAGAGAGACATTGATGTGCTGCCTCTTTTACCTGCTCTGTCTTGGGTTGGAACCTGAAACCTGAGCTGGAACCTGAACCTGGGTATATGCCCTGAACAGGAATTGAACCTGTGACCCTTGGGTGCTTGGGACGATTCTCCAACCAACTGGCCAGGTGCAAGTAGCAACTTCTTAATGATATTTTAAAAGTTAGCTGAAAAAGAAAAATGTTTTTGGAAACTCTTCATACTCCTCCCTAAGCCATATCACCAATAAAGTTGTATTGAGGAATTCTTCTTTCTAAAACACATGTGTATTCTGTCTTTTTTCCCTAAAACCTGACTCCCTGATTCAGAGTGCCTGGTTTCCTGAGGTCTCAGCTCTTGTCTCTGATTTATCACTTTTTTTTTTTAAATCTCTAGGCATTGTTTTTTTCAGCTGGGAAACAACCAGGTTTTGAGGGACAGGCTGGAATCAGTGTGTTATACTCACTACTTGGAGAGTGAGTGGGGGAGAAGCTTTGCCACCTTTCATAATTGGAGTAGAGCTATTATTCTCCACTGCTGTCCCTTGGGTCACACTCTTTGAGTGAATTCTGATTGGATTTTGAGAAAAATGATTAGAAGTAAGCTTTCTGTGAAAATACAGAAATTCAATTTTGCATCATGCTGCTGAATGACTTTTTTTTCTACCTCAGTGGTTAGAAGGTCAGAAAATCTGGTGTAGCAGCAAAAAGAAGCATAGATTGTTTTGGGAGAATTTCATATTTCCTGGAATGGGAATGCTTCACCATGAAAGCCTTCAAGCTGTAGGACCAGCCACTCCCACGGGGCAGCCTGTGGGACCAGCCACTGGAAAACCTTGCCCTGGTGATCCAGTTCTGCCTTCACCCTTCCCCCTCTCCCGCTAGGAGACTCCAGGTCACAGGTCTAACACACTTGGTGTTTTTATTTTCGCTTTACAGAAAATAACCCATTTCTTTCTTGGTTTAAAAACATGTAGTTTTAAAAATGAGTTCTTAAGAATATATAATAATAAAAGAGTAATATGCTAATTAGACTGGATGTCCTTCCGGACAACCTTCCGGGTGAAGCCGGGGCTGCGAGCGACGACTGGGTCCCAAGGGCCAGGGGGAAGCCGGTGCTGGCAGCCGGGGGAAGGAAGGCCTACTCTTGCATGAATTTTGTGCATCAGGTCTCTAGTCCTATATAATAAAAGGCCAATATGCAAATTGTCCCCTTGACTGGGAGTTCGACCAGGGGGTGGGGCCGGCCCACCAACTGCCCGCGGCCCCTCCCCCCAGCTGGCTCGATCTGCCCAATCGGGGCAGGCCGGCCAGACCCCACCCGTGCACGAATTCGTGCACCTGGCCTCTAGTTGTTTTATAAAAGGACATCTGATTCTTTTCAGTAGCCTCTTTAAAACAATCATTCAGACTTTGCCTTTCAATATTTGTTAAACATTTGGAGAATTGGTCTTATTCTAGCAGCTGAGTATTAATAAAACTCTTTTAAAAAATTACAGGTCAGATATGAAGCCTTGCATATGCTGTGTTCAGCTCCACCATCTGATGTGCTGAACTGTGAGAACTGGACCACTCTCTGTGAGAAACTGACAGCGTCTCTCTCAGATCCGGATCCTGTGTTTAGTGTAAGGAAACGCTTGTAGAAATATTAAAAATAATTTATTTTCCCTGCCAGAAGCAAATGGAATATGATCATTTTCTTTAACAGTAGTTCAAATGCTCATGAAATTTCAGTTCCAGCTTTTGAATTGTTAAGAGTTTTTAAAGGAATTAACTTACTATTTCATGATTAGATTCAAAGTATGGTCAATATCACCCTACATTGACAAATTATAGTAAACTGGTTTACCTGGTCCATTTTGTTTTATCTTGTAAAGGGATATCCAAGTATGTATCACTGTTTTTGAATTAAGAAAGTGCTTTTAAAAGAATTTTAAAGTGTTTTTGAAAGAATTTGTGGTTTATTAAAATTTGAACTAAAATGATTATTTAGAATTTATTCCAAAGGATTCATAAGGATACTTACGCATTTAAGTGTTATTTAGAGATTGCTTAACTGCTTAAAAAGAGAAGTTAGAAAAGTATAAAGCTAAGAGTTAGAAGATAATTGCGGTGAATCAGAATGCAAATACAGAAAATTCCCCAAATTCTATGAAGTCCATAGAGATAAGTGATTGTAAAAATGATTTGTAAGTTCTCAAGAATACTTAGTGTATGATTAAAAATAAGATGATATTAAAAAGTCCAGTAGTTCTTGGCTATATTTAGTATTTGAATTAAATAAAAATCCTGACTATATCCTAGCATCACATTTGAATACAAATTGGGACTTTTTAGAGAGTCTTTTTCTTCATAATTGTTATGTCAGTGAAGAAAAATTTGGCTTTAAAATAGATACAGCATGTTTTTACAGAATTTTTGAGGCATTAGTGCCAAGTTAAATATTTTTAACTGTTTAATCAATATGTGTTGAATACTTACAGTGTACATCATTCTAGTTTAGGTGCTGGGAACACACTGTGTCTGACTTCATAGAACTTACATTCTCGTAGAGAAGACAGTAAACAAGCAGTTATAAGAAAAATCTCAGTACATTTGAGCCAGGTTGTGGGCCTCAATTCCCAGTAGGGGGTGTGCAGGAGGCAACCAATCAATGATTCTCACTCATCATTGATGTTTCTCTCTCTCTCTCTCTCTCTCTCTCTCTCTCTCTCTCTCTTTCTCTCCCTTCCTCTCTGAAATCAATAAAAAAGCCAATCAATGATTCTCACTCATCATTAATGTTTCTATCTCTTTCTCTCTCCCTCCCTCTCTGATATCAATAAAAATACATTTAAAAAAATCACTCTTCCATCAATGAAGATATAATGTAGGTTGTAAACAATTGGTTTGTTATTTTTATAAGGGGGAGAAAGGTGTTTAATTACTTAATACCTGGATACAGTTTAACCTTACTAACACCAGAAGGTGATGCAGACTTCTGTAAAACAAAAACAAAAACAAACACAAAAAACTCCAAACTCAATGATCCAGGAACTTCAACAGGGAAAAAGGTATTTTAGAGTCACCTTTAATATTTCAAGACTCTCTAACAGGAAATATAATTGTAAATTTTCCTGTGTTTTTCTTTTACTTAACAAGGATAGGTTTCCTATAATTATTTAAAAAATTATATGACAATTTTATAAACACAGTAAGGATCCTAATGGGTCAGTATAAGTGGTTTTATTTGGCCATTATAGATCACTAGAGGCCCGATGCACAAAATTCGTGCAAGAGTAGGCCTTCCTTCCCCTGGCTGCAGTACCACTTTCCTCTGGCACCCAGGACCCGGGCTTCCCTTACAGCCCCGGCTTTGCCTAGAAGATTGTCTGGTCTAATTAGCATATTATGCTTTTATTATTATAGATTACTCAGTAAGAGTCAGTGTCAAGAGGTAAGTTAATAAAATTGGAAGAAGTTGTTAAAGAGGGGAAATGGTAGTAGAATAAATCTTTTCGGAGTACAAAACAAGGCATGGTATTTTTTTCATTTGGAATTTATGCTTGATCCTAATTCATTTTTGAGTTTGATTCTATTCATTTCCTGCTCTAAAGGATTCTTACGGTGTAACTGACTGAAGTGTATAGTATTTGAAGTGTGACAGACACCCATCAATAGCTTCAACTGTAAAAATAGACTTCCCAAAGAATTTAATATCCTGTGTTTAGCAGGAATCTTTTGGAATTATTAGAAAATATTTTAGTAAGTTGAGTAACCATTTTCTGTAAGCATATTATGCTAATATTTAATATAGGTAAGGTGATTATTTTTTCCCCCAGAGTAAAACATTTGAGGCAATTTTATGTTTTTATTTAGTTGGAAGTTGAATTCTACTAACAGGATTAATCAGATCTTAATATTAAAGTTGGTATAATTGAGATGATAGTAATACTATTATTTTTAAGTACCTACTAGTGCCAGGTACTGTTCTAACTATACCTATTATCTCATTTAATTAATTTACCTTGTGCTAGTTTCTACTTTAAGTTTTAATAATACAAAGTTCTGAAAATATATTAATACATAATACTTTTTCTTGGGAATAGGCAATATTATTAGAGTCCTACATATGTGAGCAATTAAATAAAAGGCAACAAATGTTGGATTCAGAAACAGGTGTTTTTTTTTTGTTTCTTTGACAACATTACATTGTACCTTCCTCTGTCAAACCTCACCAACCAGCCCATGGCTGTATCTACTATTACCAGATTTTACAACAATATCCTGCTGCTTTAGATTTACTATTAGTTTAGTCAGTTTTACTTCTTACTGACCAACACAAGAATGTGTCTTTTTTTATAGGTACATTCCTACACAAGTTTCTGCATGATTTATTTTCTAAGTTTTTTACTGTGTGAAAAATGATTCATCTCTAATTTAGTTCTGTAAGAATTTTGGATGCAAATCTTTTGTTTTATTTCCATAGGACCGGATTTTAAAATTCTATGCACAGACATTTACACTTTCACCATTCCACATGACCAAGGAAATTTATACAAGCTTAGGTATGTTTGTTACGTCGTTTAATTGTTTTTTTCTTTCATTTGTATTTAAGAAAAATGGATCAGAACTAACTTTTCTTTTCAGAAAGCACTATAATTCAATGGTATACTACTCATATATATATTTTTTACTTTTTCTTTTCAGCTAAATATTTGGAGTTATACTTTCTTTCTAGAGAAAATCATATTCCTACTGTTTCAACTGGCATAGATGTAACTAATCCTAATGTGATCCGCTTACTTAGAAAGGTATTCATTTGCTATACTATGCTTTTTTAAAAATTTAAATAGTTCTATATTTAAGAATTCTAATTTCTTGAGAACTGTTTTACACTGCTTTATAGGTTTGTCTTCTAAATGAATATCAGAAAGAGGCTCCATCTTTCTGGATTCGTCACCCTAAGAAGTAAGTCCTCTAATTTATGCCCACATAAAATATAGGAGTGTTACTATCTCACATACATTTCAAAGAGAAAGAATAGAGAGTGTCTTAATTTATTTATGTAATTGGGAAAGAATTCATAAAGTTTTATTTTTTAGCTTTTTATTTTTTTAAAAATATATTCTTTATTGTTGATAGTGTTACAGATATCTCCCATTCTCCCTCTTTACCCCCTCCTCCCAGCCCCTACAGACCCCCCAGGTCTTCACTATCCTATTGCCCATGTCCATGGGTTTTACCTATAAGTATATAAGTTCTTTGGTTTATCTCTTCTCATTCCCCCAACCCCATATTGAGGTATGTCAGTCTGCTCCATGGCTTTTCATGTTTTGTACTTAGCTTTGTGAATGGCTCTATGCAGGTATCATTTTCCATCATTTTACACAAGATAAAAAGAGGTGTTGTGGTTTTTGGTTCTTTCATTATTGGTCTCTGCTACTTTGGATAAGTTCCTTATGTGTTCTTTAAATTTTTCCTTTTAATTTAAACATTTTTAATATGGCTATAAGAGCAACTGTGAGTCTTGAAAAGTTAAATTTGGAGAGAAAGTGTTGAAATAGAAAGAATATAAGTTTCTAAAGCAAAAAAGCCACTTATTGAAATATAAAAAAAAAGTTGTTTCTAAAGGTTCTTAACACTATCGTTTCATAAATATAAAGTGTATCACCAGTTTTTATATATATATTAGAGGCCCGGTGCACGAATTCATACATGGATGGGGTCCCTCGTCCTGGCCAGTGATCGGGGTCAATTGGGGGGGGGCTTGCAGGAGGTTGGCCGGCCCCCCCCATCAGGGTCAATGGGGGGCTGGCCAGCCAGGGGGAGGGACCTTGGGAGGTTGGCCGGCCCCCAAATTGGGGCCAATTGGGGGTGCCAGCCAGCACAGAAGGTTGGCCGGCTGTGGGAGGTTGGCTGTGGGAGCACACTGACCACCAGAAGGCAGCTCCTGTATTGAGCGTCTGCCCCCTGGTGGTCAGTGCACATCATAGCAACCGGTCGACTGGTTGTTCGGTCATTTGGTTGTTCAGTTGTTTGGTCACTTAGGCTTTTATATATATAGATGTGTAAGTGTATGTATATATATAGTAACATTTGTTTTTTCTTTCCCAATCTTTAAGGTACATGGAAGAAATTGTGGAGAGTACTTTGTCCTTATTATCAGTTAAACGTGATCAAAGTCATCTTGCCTCACAAAAGATTTTGCATCCCATCTACTTTCTTGTATTGGTTGATGCCAGGGCTGTTTGGTTCAAAAAGTGGATGGTGAGAAAAAAATGAAATAAGTTTTTATACCTTTCAGTGCATAGCTATATTTCAAAGAATAGGTAATGTTTGATGTTTGTTGTGTACTAAAAGTTATAATTGTGTTTATATGTGTTAACTTATTTACTTTTTATAACAATATATGAGATAGGTAGTATTATTATTCCATTTTACAGATGCAGCAACTGAGATATAGAGAAGTTAAATGACTTGTTCAAGCTTTTTATCTAGTAAAGATTGTTTATCTTGTAAGCAACAGAGCTAGAATAGTTTTTTTTTTTTTTTTAAATATATTTTTTATTAATTTTTCACAGAGAAGAAGGGAGAGGGACAGAGAGTTAGAAACATCGATGAGAGAGATCTATCAGCTGCCTCCTGCACGCCCCCCACTGGGGATGCGCCCGCAACCAAGGCACATGCCCTTGACCGGAATCGAACCCGGGACCCCTCAGTCCGCAGGCGGACGCTCCATCCACTGAGCCAAACCGGTTCGGCAAGTTTTGTTTTTTAAAAATATATTTTTATTGCTTTCAGAGAGAGGAAGGGACAGGGAGATAGAAACATCGATGAGAGAGAGAGACCTCGATTGGCTGCCTCCTGCATGCCCATACTGGAGCCTGTAACCTGGGCATATGCCCTTATCTGGAATCAATCAGGTGACTTCCTGGTGCATGGAATGACGCTCAACCAACTGAGCCACACAGGCCAGGCCAGAATAAGGTTTTGAATTCACTTGAACTTATTAAGCTGAATGACCTATCCAAATCTGGCCATCTTTAGTATAAAAACATCAAATTTTTAAAGCAGGTATGGTAGAACATAAAGATTCACTCTGCATTTTTCTCTGACTTAGGCGATATGTCTGAAAACATCCCATGATTTGCCTCTTGCTAAACCTGTAGTTGGGAAATGTGTTTAAAGCCTGAATGATGGTGATTTCCTATGGAGCTTACCATTGTCCTTGAACTGAAACTAATATTAAGAGTAAAGAGGTCCTTATATTGTTACCTCTCTTATCTTTGTTGAATAAGAGTGGTCTGTGTCTGGCAGTAGTAGCAGCAGTGTGGGCTTATGATCTCAGATATTTGTCCCTTTCAACCTGTCTACTGAACATTGTATATTTGTGGGGAAAGGAAGGGCTGGCCCCAGGACTTACCGTGCAAAACAGCAACATGTTCATTTATTACTCAACAAAATAGTTTACTTGTAGGTCAACATATTTCTCTTACTAAACCTGAAAAGGATAAATGGTTTTGAAAATGTTTTCAGCTATGAGGTTAAAGCACACAGGCTTTGCTTAATCCTCAATTAACTAAACCCCCATTTAATTAAACTCTATTCCCAGAATTCTGATAGATTTTACTTAATAGTATTATTTACTAATTTTTATTCTCAAGTAAAATGAAGAAACCACATTGAACACTAATGATATCTAATATAATTTAGGCAAGTAATACTTATGTGTATTTTCCCCTTGCTTCGTGCAATGCAAATGAAGCATGTTTTAATCACATCCATATTTAGCTCTAAGGAGAGAATGAAAGATCTTTTGGCACTTTGAATCTTTTAAAAAATATGATTGGCAGAGCATGATTAAGATACTGTCCCTTCAGAGCATTTCAACATTGTCAAATTTCTGCATATGTAGATAGTATGGTATCTTCTATAGTGTAAGGGTTGTGATTTTCAACCCCCATGCCCACTTTTGTATTTTTCCTTTAGGCTGTGACATACACTGGTAGTCAGATTTGTTTTTTGGTGGTGGTGATTTTATAAATAGCTTAGTATGGCCTGGCGAGTGTTGCTCAGTGGTTGAGCATTGACCTATGAACCAGGAAGTCATGGTTCAATTCCTGGTCTCAGGGCACAGGCCTGGGTTGTGGGCTCGATTCCCAGTAGAGGGGCGTGCAGGAGGCAGCTGATCAATGATTATTTCTCATCATTGATGTTTTTATCTCTCCCTCTCCCTTCATCTCTCCAAAATTAATAAAAACATACTTAATATAGCTTAGTATGGAGACTGGTCACAATTGAGGGATAGAAAGTTTTTCTACTGGTCTGTCAGTAAATCCATAGTTTTTGATATAATTTGGATTCTTGTCATTGCTGTGCTCATAATCTATTATACATAAAAAAACTGTTTGGCACTGATTATAATAATTTGAAACTAAGTTATTATGTAATATATGATATTATTGGAAATTATGTATGAAAAATACATTTTGAATGGTATAGCTTGAATATTAAATTAAATGCCATTTTTTTCTCTCCTAATTTTAGCATGGATATTGTAGCAGAACTGTCGTACTAAGACTTCTTGAAAAGAAATATAAATCTCTGGTATGTCTATATTTCTGTTTTTATGTTGAGACATAATATAAAAAAATATATGATGTAATAACTTAAATGTGCAAAGTTGAGAGATAATCAGTATTGAATAATGAAGGAGTCCCCCTTTTATGTGACTTTTAAACTACCATTGTGTGAAAGATACTGCTAAACCTGTAGTTGGGAAATGTGTTTAAAGCTAAAAGATAAAAGAATAAAAGATAAAAGAATAAAAGTATAGACTTAAAATACAGTAAAGATAACAATTAGGAAGTACATAACTGCATAGTAGTTTGGTTGCTAAACAAGCTAGTTTGAGATATAAGCCATTTTTTGAAAGTATTATGTAATTTAATTCATATCAAGTACTTATGAAGGAGTGAGTTCTATAAAGTATATCCGTGGTTTTGACTAAAAGTTTTATGAAAAACCTTAGAATGATATATGCTTTTACATTTGCAAAAACTGATCTAAGTTACACCAAATATAAACCAATACTATAAAATTATTTTAGCAAAAATGTTTAATATTTATTGCTGTTTAGTAGAAATATATGCAAGGGCAGTGAAAGAAATTGAAAAGAAGTCAGCAATTCAGGTAATTGTGACAAACATGAAAAATTTATTAACTATTTAATAAATTATGCTAATGTGACTTTGATATGATAAATATGGTTTATGTGGTTAGAATCTTGAGTTTAGAAGTCAGGTGAAGGGAAAGATTCATGGAATTGTGAGTTTTTGGGTGAAGGCAGTAGAGCATAAAATGAAAGAAAGAGAACAGTAATTGTTTTGTGTTTGAGAATCAAAAGAATTGAGCTTCAGAAATGAGAAGAGGTTCTAAAAACGCGACACAGCCTATGTAGAGATATTGTGGCACTTCGGGATAACCAGAAGACACGGAGCAATTTATCTACATCCCTG